TGTTGCGTCAACGAGGTCACGTGACTAGTATCACACCACGTCCTTCTCGAACCTTCGTGAATTATCATGAGACTACTAGATTGGGGGTTGTCTGGTATATATAAGACGGTCACAACGTGACAGAACAGTGTAGTAGTGAGTAATTGAACTGCAGTCAGAGAGTGTAATTGAACTCGAGCACATGAGATGTTCGTTGAGAATTATAGCGCGACTGTTGAAATTAAGTGTATCGTAAAGTTGTATTCGGAAAGAATAAACCAGTTTTATTTAAGAAAGGACTTGTGTTGCTAAAGTTTCATCGAAACGAAGTTACAAAAAATCAATTAACGAACAGAGACGTAACAGTATAATGAGATCAGGGTCACTGCTAGAGCTGGGCAATTAACATGATTAATCCATATAATCGATTAGCTATGAGCATCCATTACATAAATTAATGTCTCAAAAATAACTAACAAATCAAAATAAAATTTTCTGATTATTACTGGTTTAGAGTATTCCAGCTATCCCAGCAATCGAAATATTGCCACTATTATTTTTGATTAATTCAAGGTGGTTCAGCTTAAATAATCAGTGTGAAAACTAATCAACAAAACAAAAGTAGTATTTCTAATTTCTGCTATTCTTGATCATTCCATGTATCACATATGAATACTCATTTAATGTAATTGATTAATGAGCCTAAAAATTTATATATTATCAAACTTTACTAATTGCCCAGCTCTAGTTCCTACCAATGATAAAACTGGTGCAATAATTATGGAAGGCCTTAATTTCAGACTCACTGATGTTATAATTATCCTGAACTGAAAATGTATTTCCAATAGGTACTTACCTCTACTCATATAAATAGCTCTTCTTGTTCAGTGGTGCCCTCTATATGCCAAAAAATTATGCATGCCACAAACCTTTTATCTCCCCTCCATTGGAATTGACTAATTCCAATGCATCTCTCTTGTGAATAATCTTGTGTCAACCTTCCACCAATAAGAGTGCGACATACTCTCATGATGCACATGACTCCCTCTATTCAATTATACCAAACTATCACTTCAGTTTTTGGCAGAAATTAGAAGCACTGGTTTTCAGTGGGGAGAAAGGGTGAGAAGTGTGAGAGAGAGATAAGTCCTATCAGAAATACGTTTTCAATATAGGAAAATTATAACTTCCAATTACCTCCTCTCACATAAATAGCTAGAAACCCACATTGAATAGGTGGAGGGAATGCTGCGAGGGAAAGAAAGATGCATCCTTTGAAAGATCTGATGTGGGGGACTGCACCAATTCTCAACCAGGTATACTCTTTGCCTATCATAGAAAGATATCGCATATGTGGGCTGAAGACAGAAAAGCACATCCAAATGGGAAAAAATTATAGCCAAAAAGTGATCTGAACCATGCAATATTTATGAAATTCAATCCCAGAAATTATAAAAGTGGGTAAAATTAAAAGGACATCCCCTAGCTGTAGAGTGGCTAGAGCACAACAGATCACACATGGCAAATCAACTACATCCAAAACCCATGCCACTGGGAACCGACATCCATATGGTGGTAGAATGAGGATCATATTGTGGGTAAGTCAACTACAATAAAAAACCCAGCTGCCAGGTACCAACATCCATGAATCGGTAGGAAAGAGGATCATACCACCAGCAAGTCAACTAAAATCCAAAACTCAGGTCACTGGGAACCAACATCCATGTGGGGGGTAGAAAAGAGAATCATACCATCTTCACCTCAAGTTCATGAGATCAGAGGGAATCTAGTACCCACTGACTCATGAACGTGGCACACGTGAATATGATAAATTGGTAGACTGATCTGGGAACCCGACATCCAGTATACAAAAAATGTCTGAATAATGTCAACCATCACCCTCAAAATTGAAATTGACCGAAACCACCCCAAGTGCATTAATATCCTCAGAATGAGAAACGTCAAAAAATAGCAGAAGGGAAACAGCAATAACAATCCACAAGGACCTTCAATGTGACCCACAACACTGATGGAGTATAAACAACGGAGGAATATAGACATCTGTATTGCATGTGTGAAGATTTGTATTGATTGATTCTAGTCTAAATCCAATACAAAGTATTGCATGGATGGGCAGCGATCCCCTTCTGCTTTACCCATGTAGTCTATGGGTGGATATGGTCTGAGACAGGCAAACTTATGAAGCAATTCTATTGTAAGGATAAACCTACAAGCAATCTTGTGGAACACTCCACCTCAGCAATGTGCGTTGTGTGGCAATGGAATTATAACATGCAAGTTGACATGGCTTGACAGTGCGGATTTGAACAGTTAAAAAAAACCTGGTCAGGCCCCACCCACCACAAAGCAGGATTCAAACAATGAACATAAAGAAAAGGCCCCCTAAAAAAAGAAGAAGAAATATTAGTTTACCCAATCAAAGTCTCATGAGCCACCAAAGTGTCAGGAAGGAAAAATGAACTGGAGAAAGAAAAGATATGTAAAGAGTATGTGAAACATCAATGGCAAATAAACAGACCATCGATGTCCATAGGAGAATAAGAGAAGGAAGGAACACATAAGGGAAGTGAAAAAAGTGGACTGGGAGAGTTGTTTTAACATAGGCAAAATAAGACGGTGCAGGATTACATTAATATACCCATCTGGAAGGGCAGCTTGCCACGGCGATGACAAGTATGGAAGGAACACATCCACGGACTGCCCCAAATCCAAGATCTGGGGGACCAAAGACCCCTGATCCAAAAGTCAAGAAAGGAAATCCACATGACAAAGAACATTGGGTTGATGAATGGAA